GTGGTGGTAGGTGGTAGTGGCAGTGGTACTGGCAGTGGCAGTGGTACTGGCAGTGGTAGTGGCAGTTGCAGTGGCGGTAGTAGTAGTAGTAGTAGTCGTAGTAGTAGTAGTAGTAGGAGTAGGAGGAGGAGGAGGAGGAGCAGGAGGAGCAGCAGTCGTCGTCCTCCTCCTCCTCGAGTAGTAATAGCAGCATCAGCATTTGCGGCAGCAACAGTATTCGTGGCAGGGCTAGCAGTAGGACGAGGAGCACTCGAAGCAGCAGGAGTAGGAGTAACTGGCAGTCCTAATAATACGAGTAGTCTGGATGCATGGTGAACGCTGGAGGAGGAGAAGAGAGCAACCAAACACATCAGGAACCTACCATATTTGTAAGTAGATGGCTTGATGGGGCTGAAAGAGGTGGACGAGTTCGATCGAGCAAAGATGCATTCATCAAGGACCAACATGAGTCTTGCAAGCATGACAAACCCTTACTGTCAGCAGCACTCCTGTTTCTGGACATAACACTCACACATCGCTTGACCTTCTCTGCGCATGGATAATTGCTGATGCAATGACTTGCACAATGACTTGGGCCAAAACAAGAACGAGACATGGCGACGTGTATATCAGGTAAATCATGTGCATCCGGAAAAGAAAGCCGCAGCCCTGGCAGCTTCAGTCCAGCGAGTCCCCACAGAAAATGGTGGATCGGCACCTGCCATGGTCACTAAGATGGACATGGAGACTGCAGCAGCGGAGAGCTCAAACCATCTCAAACCAGCGAGGAGAACGGCATGTTGATGCCGAGTGCCAAGGTGCCAGTAGCAAAGACGACCCGAAGGTACCTGCAAAAACGTCTCACTGCTCAGATATTGAATGCAGAACCTCAGGCAGCGCTAGTGTGAAAGGTAGCTGGCCACGGAGCAACGACCGGTCCAGCAATGGCATCACGCTGCAGCTTTGGTGTCATACTAGGGGCCACACCCCCGGCGGAAGAGGACCTCGACTGCTTGCCGGTAATTCTTCCTTGGCAGTCAGACTGCTTCAGGACTGCTGAATGTGCAGCATGACAGGCCCTGGCGGGGCGCCCTCATGATGCATCCCGATTCCTCTCCTGACGAAGCATCATTTCGTCTGATTGGTTCTGCTACTGGGAGGCTAATGTGACTTTTGCTGTCCTGAGACCCTCTATCATCCAGCGTTCAGTACGGCCCTTTTTCTTGGCTTCCTGTATGACTTCCTCGATGTCCTGCTGGCAACCAGAACTAGCTCAAGTAATACCACGACAGATGTGCCTTGCTGCAAGACGCTGGCGCAGTACGGCTCTTCAAGAAATTTGTTCAGAGAGGTTGCATGACTGCAGGGATATTCTGCGACGTCCTCGTGCCAAATGCCCAGGGCTTTCGCAGAGTGGAAGGTATACTGCAGCACAGCGCACTACAAAAAAGTGTACATGCCTGACTAGAGCAACAACTGGACATTGAGGCCCAAACCTCCGGGTCGATCTCTTCGGAGATGTCCTGCTCAAAGATCATGTTGTTCAACGCGCAAGCCAGCTCTGGTTCAATGTGACAGCCACTTCAAAGGAGCGCTGCAGACAAGATTCCTCCGGCTTTTTGGGTTCTTGCAGCAGGAGATCCTGCAGGCAGCTCAGTGAGCAAATGTGATTCTGCCGAGTCAGAGACTTTCCAGGGCCTCAGAAATGTCGACAGCTTCAGACTTGTTTCCTCCTCGACCTGCTTGCTTCATAGCAAACGCATTTCAAAATGCACGAAATGTCGCGAAATATCTTTCCCCACAAACTGCGAGTGCCACCAGTGCCTTCTATCTCTCCAGACTTTCTCGCGGCGGTCCCTTCTTGCTTGGCACTGGCTCGCATCTTCTGAGCCTGGCATCGCGAACAGTACGACTTCGCACAACTACCAAGAGTTCTGAGCATATCTGAGCGTGCTGAGCCTGTTCATAAGCTTTTTTCTTCTCTTCGTAGTCTGCCATACGCCTAAGGCCATGAGCAGTTGGCACAGCTCAAAACCTCCATGCAGAACAGCCAAACACCATGAGAGTCAGAAGTAGTTAGCCGCCAATTGGAAGATGATTCTGGATATCAAGCAATGAACCAGTTGCCCTTGAAAGAATGATTTGTGGAGCATGGGCCGCGGCTTGTCGTTGATCTTTCTGGTTCTAATCTTCGCCTCTTCGTCTCCCCAATACCTGCAAAGGCCGCCGGCATTTGCTCCCACCCCGAGCCTTTGCAATGAGAGATGCAGACCACGGGCGCACTTGTTGTACTGAAGCTTTTCCAGCTCCTCGACAAGCTTTTTGAGCATGCGCTCAATCTCTTTCCTCGGTATTTGACAGAGGCAAATTCCTGTATGCCCGCCGCTTAGTTGGAATGATGAAGTGCTTGCGATCCATTCCCTTCAAAAAACATCGGCCTGGAGAAGTTGAAGATGATCGCAGGCATGATGTCTTTTTGGTCGAGATCTTTGCAAAGCTTGAACAATGTGGCTGCCTACGGAGGCACAGAGTGAAGTGGACAGCACGTGCGAGGACTCCAACTGTGCTTCTATCAACGTGACGCCCGCCTGCAGATACGAGGTCTCCTTCGCCAACTTTGTCAGGTCGACCTTTCTGAGAAGTACCAAAGAAAAAGAGAAGATACAGCACCCAGAACTCTGCTTTGATGTGACGAGCTTCCTGTTTGTTTTCAAGAAATGCAACAGCATACAGCCTTTGAGCTGTTCACGTTGAGCTGCTCCAGCAGAGGTGCGTTGCTTTCAGCAACTTGGGACAGGCTGAGCTCTACTTGTGAGCTGCCTCGTTCTCATCTTCCACGCGAGGAGGCGGCTTAAAGCCTTCAAATTGCAAGCGAAGCAAGTTCATGGAACATGGTATATTATAGTATATTATATAGTATATTATATAGTATATTATACAGCAGTCACACAACTCCCCCCAAGAAAACATCTGAGCTTCCCAGCTTTCAAGATCAGCCGGCTGCTGCAATGCCATGGTGAGCTTGGAGAAGCCCTGCACAGGTCAGGTCGCCTACTCCTGGAAGAACTTACTTGGTATTTTTCTGCTGTGGGTTGATCTGAAACATCCTGCACTGACTAATTAGACGGCCCAGCATTGGAACGGGGTGCAAGCAAAACACCCTTGGCTGGCAGCTTGGGGTTTCCAGTCATTTCATTGCATTCGTCCGGTGAAGGGAGTTCGATATGATCAAAAAATATTTCGAAAGCGGTTCCTGCTCCACCGTTTCACCGAAAGACCAACCTAAAGCCCGGGGTCACTGCCAAGTGACAGAGCAAAGCCACGAACAGGATCTAACAGTTGCAAAATCACAGAGGAAGACGGAGCGAGAAGGCAACATGAAGAATCCCTGACACACCGTTGTGAGACATTATATAAAAAAAATGCAAATTGAAGTCAGCCTCGTCGCCCAGCGCATTTTCGTGAAGGAGCTGCAGGAAGGTCTCCTCCAACAGCTGGAAGCTTAAGCAAATCTTCACTTCTGCGGACGAGCTCCACGTTGCGGTGCATGGCACTTGTCCTTCAAACTCTTTTCGTACCCTCTGGCATCGATCTTGGAGACAAACCTTGATACAGTGCTCTCTGGAAACATGGCTTACTTGGTTAGGACTGAGAGCCTTGCGCCTGTCCTTCAAAATACGTACCGGGAGCCAACCTGCAATCTCAAGACATCTGAAAACTTACTTCTGTGACATCTGAGTCTCGGCTCTGCCTGCCTCCGCCCTCTCCGTCTCTCTCAATGCTCTCCCAAGTTTGTGTCAGACCCCCTCCTTTTAACCAGCCCCCTTCCCCTTCTCTGTCAACTCTCTCACTCACCCTGGCTACACACATGCGAAGATACCACGTTAATGTTTGTTGAATTATATTGTTCATGCAATGTGCGGATCACAGCCAACGCCTGTCGAGCTTACCGCAAGCCCGGCAGCCGCAGCGGACAAGCGCTAGCGATTACAAGCATGCGCGGTTCTCAGTGGCCTGTCCCAGCTGTCATTCTTGCCAAGGATTCTCTGGACCTTAGACCCGCTCCCACATCAGGCTGATGGGACGAGAATAGAAGCCTGCTGCAAGTTGGCTGGTGCTAGCTGTGCAGCGGGCTTCTCGGTGTAGCTGGACCATTTCCTGTGCTTTTGCAGGTTGCAGACCGAAGTTCTGCACATCTGCAGGAAACCGCTAAGATCGGGACCCTTGGGACGAGGCTCATGTCCGAGGACATTCCATTTCGTCGCAGAGAGCTCTCCACGAGGCAGCAGAAGGGGTGAAGTGCCCTTCACAGGCTTTACATCTCCAAACCTTTGCCAGAACGACTCCCGCCTGAGCTCTCCCTTGTGCCAGACGTGCTTGTAGAGATCCTAAGAGCTCATCGCAAGAGAAGTCAGATGTGTGCCATGTAGGTGTTCCCCTTGGCAGAACGTGCTGCTGTGCTGCGTTCCAGCGCTCGCGGTGCTCCACGATATGCACCTTGCAGGTGCTGCGATCTGAGAGTGGCACAAAGAACAACTACGAGAAGAGAACACAAGAATCAAGACCTGTCAACAAGACCTGCCCCCTAAACTTTTAATCCCTAAACACCTATACCCCAACTCCTAAACTCATAAGCCCCAGCCTAAACCCTAAACCCGGTGGGTTCTCCAACCTTCGAGGTCTTCTTCAGATCATTGACTCGGCCTTGTCCGAGGCCAAGAATCGCAACATGCATAGATATTGGGGCAATATTAGGGTAATATTGGGGTTGCATATGGTTATATAGGAGTCATTTTGGGATAACAGAGATTAAAATGGAAAGAAACTACTATTTAGATTCAAGGTTTGCTTGATTCTGACAAAATCCTGCATGACCCTAAGCATGCTCCATGCAGAAATGTCAATAATAGTCGTATTAATAATAGTGATATTAATCATACTAGTAATAGTACTAATTCAGGTGTACTAGATTATGTAGGACCGTATCCATAATCCTATGGGGGCTCCTTCTCAAAACAAGTCACGTACGATTCCTAACGGGAACCCCAATCAAGCCTTTGTCATCCGTGTCTTGCTGAGATCCTTGCTGCCCCCGTTTCCAAAATCCACATGTAAAATCAGAGTTCATGGTGCTACAATTGCCCTGAATCATTGTTATTACTATCATTATTATTACTTGTATTCTTACTATTATTGTTACTATTATTGTTATTGTTATCAGTATTAATTAGTACTACTATTATATTGAGTACGGTTAACGTTGTCCATTATTTGGATCTTTTGGGGCCTGTGGGGTATTGTGGGGTTCTCTTAGACTATTTGGGTTGTGCAGGGATTGTACAAACAAATTCCAGTTTTGGTGTCCATGGCTTTGAGACAGAATTCTCTCTCCCCACGATCTCGAGTTCGGGCATCCACCAGCGCAACTAAGTGCACAAGACGCACACTCAGCAGCCCAATTGTTGCATCACTAGGGCTGTCCAAATTCAAATTCGAACGGTTTGGAATTACATTGACACGGAATTGCAGACCTTCTTACAAGTCACCACAGTAGGCATAATCAATTCGCAAAAACGGAGACCACACTTTCTGGCAGATAACCACATGGGCAGTTCTCGGAACAAGCTCGCAAGTTCCAGCTTGCTCAGAACTTTGCTTCGGATTTGGTGGTGCGGACTTGCATACAGTTCCTGGTTCTGAGCACAGAAAATGACACACTTAAGGGCTGCGCCTAGCCAGTTGTGGAAGAAGCTCGGGTCGGACACCGTGGCGCTGAGGGCGATGAAGGGGCACGGAATAAGCTGCAGGGCAAGATTGACAGGCAGTGGGCAGTCGCAAGTCCAACATGTTCACAATCTTGCAGGCTGTTAGTAGGGAACAGAGGAATGTAATCCCTACAAAGTAGCAATATAAAATATTCTCTTCTTCCCAACTTGGAGGGTCAGGGGAACTTAGTAAGTAGGTTAGTAAACCCCTATAACCTATATAATAACCCTAGTTATCCTCATTATCCGCCGAGGCCGCAGGCCTGTCGTTTAGATGCAGGCGCCGGAGACTAGGAGTGGTTTAACCCACCCCCTACCCCTTCCCGGTGCACACGGCTCGGGGAAGGGGGGGCAGGGGGGGGCAGGGGGGGGTAAGGGTGACTCAAAGCGGGGGGGCGGGGTTCGAGGGGGGCAGGATGGGCTAGTGCCGCAGCCTCGATCGACTACCTTTGCCGAGGCGGTCTCGCGTTAGCGATAAAATTCATCTACTTAATAAGTCTCCCTGACCCTCCAAGTACTAACCCCCAGTAAGCAATTCATGCTCACATAGGCGGATGCACCTGCATGCAGTGCTCCCACTGGACTCCACCTTCCTGCTCACCGATGCAATGCACCTTCCAAAAAATGACAGTGACAAAGGGCTTAGAGGGGCTATATAGGGTTATTATCGGGATATCTATATCTGTATCTATATCTGAATCTATATCTCTATCTATATATATATATATGTGTATATGGGGTTTAGAGCCTTTTGGGCTTAGGGGTTTCCCGAAATGATGGGTACCCCCGCATAATGGAGAATTAACTGGAAAAGCACATGGAAAATGAAATGGAAACTGGGTTTATGTAGGGATTGGGGTCTTCCAGAATTAGGCGTACCATTTGGGGTCCCGATAGTAAGGACTACGGACTTGGGGACCACACCGGGGCCCCCCAACTTGGGAAATCACCACATAGATGTCCCGCAGCAAGCTGTAGCAAAAGGCAAAAAGACTACTCAAGGAATGCAGGCAAGCAATGAGCTTCTTGTAGTTTGCACTTGCTGGGACTTGGACGGACGAGGCGGGCAAAATGATTGCGGGTACTGTGAAGTCTATTTCATTTGGCATTTCATGAACCTTCGCCTTCGTCTGTCTCAACAGCCGAGCACAGATCAGTACATAGATTCTACCGGTCAAGCTCGTGTTAAAGCCAGCAGCCAGCATTGAAGCGCGAGGCAAAATGTGCAGAAAACAAGAGAAGTGTCCTACAAAATGTGCCGATGCCTCGTCGAAGACCACGTACCGCAGCCGAGCAACCCAGTCCTGCTCTACGTACTCTGTCAGTCTACGTACTCTGACAGAGAATCGGGTGGTCAATGCATGTCAATGCGAGCGTGGCCTGATTTTCTGCTGAGAGCAGAAGCATCTCGAGAATGTGAGGAATGGTCACAAGCACCTGCGCTTGGGGGGGGGCAGTGATCAAGAACTCTCCAAATGATTGCTCATGCCGGGCCTGACAGTTCTTCCATTTGCCGGCCTCATTGACACCTCCAGCCTAGCATTTGCAGGCTCAAGCTGATGAACCATGTCAGCGCTGACTCTAAGCCACAGGCTGAGTTGAATTCCTTGAGGAAAACTCCCAACCTTCAAAGAAGGCTCATGAATACAGCAAATGTGCGATTGAGAAAGCTTGCGTTGCAGACGGGCAGCAGCTCTTGCTTGGAGTGGGCTGGAAAGATCTTGCTCCCAAAGCGGGCGTAGATTTCTGCACTGACCTGCCAAAAAGATTTATCAGCAAGTACGGGAAGGACTATGAAGAAGCTGGACAAGCTACCACTGGCAAAGCCAGCCTGATTCACGAGAGCTTTGGAGGGGGCCACGTAGACTGCGACACCCTCATGATCTTCTCTAAGAACCTGTGAAAGAAATGGTTCATTGTGCGACAGCATGGCGAATCAGGCACAAAACCATACCACCATGAGCTCGACACCTGGTCCATCACATAGTAGCCAATGAAAGTCTTGCCACTTGCGGTGGGTGCAACAACCTTGGCTGCTATCTAATTAAAGGCGGAGCCTGCCAGCCTTAGGATACCACAGCTCGCATAAGGCCGTTTTGCATTTGGGTCACAAGTGCTGACTCATTGCTGTCAACGATGTCCAGCAAGTCCTTCCAACCACACGTGAACGAGCCGCTGTAGTAGCAAACGGTGAACACTTCCAGACTCCGCAGGTCCCGCTGCCACTTGTCTGGCTTGAAGTTGACTCGTTCGTCCTGCAGTCACGCTGAGGAATTACTTAATTGCTTGCGAGGTCCTAGCCAAAACTGAAAACCTTGGCAGTGCCGACGAGACGGATCATCTGCGGGCCCATGTACATCAGCCTGCAGCGAGATAAGCACGGGAAGCATCTCTCGGAGAGAAAACTTCACACTGTGCAAGCAACTACCGCCAGGCAACTGGAAGGCATACTCGTCACTGCCAACCCCGGACCAGAGCATCTCCACCTTGCAATCAGTGCGGATGCAGCCCGCAAAAAGCAATCCTTACGCGCAACCACCCCACGCAACTCCAATCTCCACATCAGGACTGTACCCTGCCTTGCTTTCCTTCATCTCGAAAGACTTGAAGGGATCCGCATCCTGATGAGCATGATAACGATGACAATACATAGGATGCTTACACAAGCCACAATAGCCACCCAGTCTGTTCCTTGCCGTCTTTCGAGTCCTTCTTGTCCTTCTTATCCTGGCGCTTGCAACGTCATGATTGGCTCAAGATTGAAGAGCTGCGGGACAGTGGCAATCTTCTCCTTGTCCTTGTCCTTTTCTTTCTTATCATTCTTGTCCTGCTGGGCTCACAGCTGTCAGGAAGGGTGTCAGGAACGGGGATCACAGAAGATCAGCATGTCAAAATCTTTCACTCAGATACCTTCTTGGCATCTTTTGCATCTTTGCCTTTTTTGTCCTGACGCCGGTGGGGATGCTTGAGACAAGCAAACAGACCTCGCGCGAGCCCGAGCCTACGGCCATCTTCTAGAATTGAAACAAACGACGCATGCCCTTCCTTCCCCTTGTCATCATCTTCTGCGGGACCCTCTTCTTTTCCAGCTACCTGCACCATGCAAATAAGGACATCAGCTGCAGCAGCTCCAGCCGCTCGGCCTCCTTCCACCGCTGGAACATGCCTTAGACGAGCTAAGCACTCCATCCGGATCCAGTTGAAAACGAATGCCTCCAGGCAACCTTGTGCATTCTTGCGGAAGCCCAGCGAGATCAAGAGCTCTTGGAAGAGCTTGATGCCTCAAGTTGTATGGGCTCTAGTCCGAGAGCTGCATGCAGAGGATTTGACCTGCGAACTGGCTGTCTTTTTCACATTGCTCGCGCACAGCGACATCAGTCTGAACTTGTTGGTGACCACCGTGCTACCAAGCTGAGACCTTCCAGCAAAGAGAGAGGACCGAATCGATGTCCACGGGCCAGGATGGCCTCGTTGGAAACTGCATCAGCCTTCAAGACGAGCATCTCGACGCTGCAGAATGAACATGTCTCCCGCCAGTGGAACATCATCCTCCTTTGCGGCACAATTTGAAGAATCCCCGCAAAACTGGAATATGAACTGTGCATATACGACCGTAGATTGTTGAGCTTAGAGGCAATTCGAAGTGGAATTGTTTCCACTTCGATGATCGTGAAGAATGGTGCGGAAAGGGCTTTGATGAGGGATTGGCAGTGGGCATACCGTCCGGATTCTCTCTGAACTTTTCCCTGAGCACAGCAGTTTGCATGGCCGCTTCATTTACCTAGGAGCTAGTCTGGCTCTCTCTCATCTCGACCTGTCTCTGCACATGTCTCATGCACACTTCACATGGTCTCGTGCCGCCTCTGAAGTCTCATCCTCGCCTGCCGCCTCCGTCGAAAAGACGAAGATGCCACGATTCTGCAATACTCGGTATGCTTCAGCAAAGACCTTGTCCAGTTGCAAGACGTAAATGAGAACGTCAGCTGCAACCAGGAGGTCGATTGTTTCGCTTGCATGGCTACTGAGGACCGCCATGAGATCCCTCTGATGGAGCTCATCGTAGCCACCTGCTTCTCGGGCACGAGCCAACATGGCTGCCTTAGGGGTAACCCGGAGACCATACATCTGGAGGCCTGAAGCCTGTGCTATCTTGTGCTACGCATTTATTTCGACAAGTGGCCGAAAGGTCGACACCTATCAACTTCTCAATTTTCGTGGATGCTTTCAGAGCTCTGCCGCAAAGGCCCGTGCCGCAGCCCAGATCCAGGCAGCAGGGAAAAGATTTTCCGAAGCCGGCTATTTTTGCAGCAATGACCTTTCAAGATGTTGACACTTCACAATCACTATGTCGCCGCAAGCATGAACACAGCCTCAGGCAGGTTGTACTCTAAAGTGTTCACCAAGTGGTCTTCAAATTCATCGGCATACTCGTCAAAATTTTCCTCCTGAACTGCCCAGACAGAGGCCAAAAGTAGCTTCGGGGCGGGAATAAGGTGCACAAAAAACTTGAAAGGAGATGTGCGACTTTGAAAGCCATCATGGCAAGGATCCACTTCCAACCGATGCCGGGTACGAGCCACCAGTTGCCTGGAGTCTGTGTTACGTGCATCAGGCTCATGCGCACAACACTTAGACTGATCTTCTAGCTGCACCACTTGACTCGCCATTAAGGTTGCCGCCTACAGTCAAACTGCTGGGGAATAGATAGTGCTCTGCCCAACTGGACCGACTCTCAAAGAAAAGATGAAACTTAATTCCGCAAGATCGAAAGCCAAGAGGCTCTGCCTTGGCAACCCAGGAAGGGGGCATGACTCATGCCGTCAAAGCATATGAACTTAAGCCGCCCCGCCAGAGACCATTGCAACACTCCAAAAAAATACGCCGTGATATTCGCTCGCCTATGCTGCTCGAGCCAAGGCAACTTCCGCATGTTGTCCGCTCAGATTCCCAAGTCCTTTTGCTTGCAAGAGAGACTTCTGTGCCCGCGGCTCTTTCCGTCAATGAGACCTTTCTTGCCTGACAAACTGATGACAATCACAACCCTGTAGAACTGCAGCAGCCGCTGGCAAGAATAGAAAATGATTTGCTTCGAGCATCCCCGTTAAAGTGCGGTTGTCCAGCAGGCTAATCTTATTCGCCTATCTCCCGGAATAAAGAGGTTTCAGTTTTGTAAAGCCTGCTCAGGATCTCTTACAAAGACTATAAGGCCTCCGTCAGGTTTGCTTCAAGGGGTTGCAAGGGTCCTTTGAAGGGGCTACGAGGCCTACATGGGGGTCCGTTTCAAGGGGTTATCAGGGTTACACGGGGTCCCTTTGAAGAGGTTGTAAGCCCAAATAGGGTTTGAATAAAGGGGGTATGAAGGGTAAATAGGGTCTCTTTAAAAAACGGGCTTACAAAGGCTACATTGGGTCCCCTTAAAGGGCTTCTTTGGAGGGGGGGCTTCTTTGGAGGGGCGAAAAGGCCCACGTAGCATCCCTTCAAGGGTTATAGGGACTATATCGTATCCTTTAAAGGGATTATGAAGCCCTGCATAAGGTCCCTCGAAAGCGGGTGCGGGTATGGGGTTGCAGGGAGACTGTGCGGTTGGGCACTGCAGGAATACCCTGCAGTTGGGCACTGCAGGGATACTCTGCGGTTAGTCACTGCACGGAGGGCGAGGAGAACATAGACTTCTTAATGTCTAATAGCCCCACTGTTAGGCTGAGGAACAGGATGTCAAGCCGCTTCTTTTAGCCAGGGCACCGAATGAATTCCAAGCTTCCTGAACCAGGCAGTAGATGTAGACGACCAAGCTTGTCACCTGTAGCTGGGGTGTTCACGCTGAAGGCTCTTGGCATGGAACACAGGTGAGGATTGCGCATGCACGCTACATGGACATGAACCGTAAGTAGAACTGTGAACAGGGTTTGTGTTACCTTCCCTGGCGAGTAGCCTTGGGCTGTGCCTCTGCAGGCAGCTTGTCCAGCTGCAGCTTCTTAAGAGCCTGCACTCCCAACTCTCAAGCTTTCGGAGATGAATTTGAGATTTTGAGGTCGGTGCTTTCTGCAGACTCTGGACTGCCTGCCAGGTCACGTCCAATGTCTCCAGAAATATCTTGAAGATTGTTAGGAAGCCCACCTTGACAATGACGGTCACCTGCGCCTCCGGCGTCTTGAACGCGTTGAGCGCAGGGAAGCCGACAAAACTGGCAGCAAGCTGGCAAGTTGGCGCTCTTGCTTTTCTTTTTTTCCCTTGGCATAGCCCACCGAGGCCTTGGAACAACTCGATTGAAGCCGATGAGCAGGTCAAGGAGCTCCTGAGAGTATCATAATATGCGTGCATAATAAATCATGCGGTTCCCCTGTTCTAGTGGCCGAGAAGAGCATCTACCCAACGGAGATTGCTTATGCATTCATCAGACGACGCCTTCTCCAGCTTCGAAACGTCGGAAACCTCCAGATAAATATCGTGGCTGCATCTTCGACACCAAAACCAAAAACATCCGTCAATGTTAGATGGACAGCGCTGTCCTCTCCCAATGAAGCCAAAGGCTTCTCCCAGTCCGCAAGGGTCTGCTTATCCTGCGCCTGCAAGAACTTCTTGGCACAGCGGCTTCCATATAACCAGGATCCCTTGCGGACGCCCCCCGCGACACAAGACCCCAAACCTGTGGCCTGAGTTTTCTCGAGGTCCTTCTGATTTTTCTTGTCCAGAATCTCCTGAAAGCTGGCTGTGGGTCTATCCAAATAGAAAGCATTCTCAAAGCCCTCTTGCGGCGCAATCCTGGGCTTTCTTGCTGAGTTTAGGTTCCTCTGTCTTTTTGGCCTTGTCAAGCAGCGCGACGTCAAGCACTTTGAGTACAAGCAGCTACAATAGATTTGCACGCCTGCTTGTCAAACCATACAGCCTCTGCCAAAAGCCTGGCCTCCTTTTTTGAGTCCTCCTTCTTTGCGTCCTTTTTCGGTTCCTCTTTTTTCTGGTCAGACTTGACGCTCACAATGGGAAGGTGCAACTTGTCCGAACCTGTACAGCGGGACAAGTACAGCACGCATGACATGCACAGAGTCCATCAGGCAGACCCAAAAGCAGCTGCTGTGCTGCAAAATGCAGCGGCTTGGAAATCTCAAGCAAAGCAAAAGCCTGTAAGGGATTTCGCATAGCTGTGAAGCTGTCGCAAGGCCTGGAATGACACCATTGTTCACAACAATGGCAGATGGTTTGACATGCCGCGAAGGTACAGGAGCGTCACATGTGTGAGGGTTGTAAGGGCGCTGCCACTTGGCGCTTTTTCATTTGGAACTTCCTCTCAAACTCCCTGTCCTGGACAGGATGCTATCTGCCTGGTAGTTCTTTACTGGCGGGAAGGTACCAGGCCACTGACATCAGGACTAGGTTACGCAATAAGCGCAAGCACGGCTGGCAACAAAATGCCACCTTGTCGGTGATCTTCTTCTTCTCCCTGTCAATCGGAAGAGGGTGGAACACTCGCAATCTTTGGCTGGTGCTTTGCATCTTTGTAATCTTGAGCCTCATTTTCTGCTCCATCCTCTTTTCTGCTTCACTCTTCTCCATCGTCTGCACCTGACCGTGCATCTGAGTACATCTGCGTATGGTACTACCTCCTTTGCAGCAAGCGTACCTCCTGGATGGGATCCACCCGGACGCCCTGCTTCCAGCCATACCTCATTTATTTGCTCATATTGTTCCTCCACGCAGCTGACATACCAGGAGCCAACAAAAAAGGGCACCTCTCCCAAAGCAAACCAGCATCGTCAGGTTCGTCCTTGCAGCGGATGCATAGACTGGCCATGACTGCCCTGAACTGCAGTATTATTAGTATTACCATTATTATTGCTATGATTAGTATTACCATAAAAATTTCTGTTGATTAACTGAGTAGAGGGCTTCATCCTTTTGATTCAGGTTGTCTGCTTTCTCCTCGCAAGTACTCACAGTGATGCTCTCATCCTCAGCAATGAAGAGCTATTCTCTGAACCTCAAATGACAGCGGGTCCTTCCACATGGCATCGAACAACTCAGACCTGGGTTGTGCAGCTGGCAGCCTGGAACCTACTCAAATAGGCGCGAGGTTCAAGAAGCACCAAGGAGCAAACTCTATCTTGAACAGGACGGGTCTGTCGCGAACGCGTGCCTCCGTGAAGTTGCCATGGTCTTCTGTGCATAGAATCTTGCACTCTTGCACTTGCTCCCGCCTGGTCTGGAAGTTGCGGTGGCTCCAGACCCTCCAAGTCCTTCAGGAAGGCTTTGTCAGGCGCAGGCTGGCAGGGCTTAATCACAGTGGCCTTCATCGCCGAAACTTTTAGCGGGAAGAACTTTTCTTTCGAAGACGCCTGCATGCAATACAGGCTGAAGAGAAACATCAACGCTTGCAACATGCCTGTAGCAAGGCACTGATGCTACTGGCAACGCATCATGAACCCACTCTGCCTCAGACCACAGGAAGTCCAACTCCTCCACAACATAGGAGCTGAATTTGAAGGCATCTGCCTTGACCTCCAGGTGTGAGGCGAGCAAGCTGTCTCCATTGCAGGGACGACTGGCCTCCTTGCTCTTTTCCGACAAAGCGCTCTCAACCTATGCTGCGAAATTGGGTTGCCCCACGTCTTTGAGGCCGCTTCACATGTCAAAGGTTGCGCGTCTTCGTCGCAAGCAGGATTGGTTACTGAGGACACCACAAATGACAGCTCTGAGGGTTACTGGGGATCCAGCTACGAAGCGAAACAAGTGCCGAAAGAGGCGACCTTGGCTTCGGATGGCAAAATCTGCACGAGGGCCAAGAAATCGCTTGCCATGATCGCGGGATCTTCTAAAAAAATGTGGTACGGCCCCAGCCATCGAACAAATCGCAAGCATCCAGCTTGGAATCCTGAGAAAATTCGAACTGAACAAGATGCGGTGGGGATTACCTCTGTACCACGCCTCCAAATCAGCCGAAGAGTCTCTGTTCAATCTGCCAAGCTCCTGGATATGGATTCAACATGTTTCTCAGCATATCTCAGCATATCAGATGCAAGGTAACGCCAACTGCCACTCCTTGGAGATGTAGCCGTAGAACCTCACACAGCAAGATTGGCACTCGAAGTCGTCAGCTTGCAGAGGTAAGCAGAGCTTGACGGTGACTCAGATTCCAGGCCAAATTTGCTTCACATGGACTAGATCACATCCAACCCTCCAATGCCTGTAAGCCTCCAATAGCGCTCACAAACTGCTCACCCCCAACAACCTTGCCGTTTGGACCCCTTTGGGCAGTCTTCATGAACCAGAGACTCTTCATGCAAACTTCCAAATCTCCTTTTATGAAGCTCATCGCGACACTAAGCCCCAAACCATAAACCCTGAACCTCAAACCCTAAACCCTAAACCCCGAACCCTAACCCTGCGGTGCAGCCATGCAGCCTGTCTAGTGCGCCACTGATGGACTCAGCGTACAATTCCCACTCTTCACTGGGTACTGTTGAGAACCTGGGAAAAGCTGATGGTTGCCTAAAATCATTCATACTGGGGTTCTATTGGGATAATGGAAAATAAAATGGAAACTACTATAGTATGTAGGGGTATATACAGGGTTATATTGGGGTTCTATTGGGATAATGGGAAAGAAAATGGAAACTACAGGGATTATAGGGGTATGTTTTTGGGGTCCTTATAGTAGGCATTATAGTACTTTGGGATCTATATTGGGTTCCCCCTATTTAGGGAAAATACCAGCAAAGATTGACGAGACATGGGCCCCTCTGCACAGCATGCTTACCATAAAGTTTTGTTGAGAAATGTTCGCTCTGTTGTCGAGGTGGCTGCATAAAAGACAACCGAGCCCTTCCTACATTGATGACAGCGAAAATCGGAGATCACAAATTACTGCAGGTGCTTCCACCTGCCTCTGGCCTTCTACTGGTAATTAGGCACAATGCTTGAATTCTTGTTGTCAAGTAGGTGTGCTGCGCTCTCTTGTCCAAGGGCATGTACCGCAGCACCATCTCCTCGTACACTCCCGGCCAATCCCGCATCTACCACACAGCAATCATTCATGTTAATGCTCTGGTTGAACATGATGCTACGAAGAAGGTGAACCATGCAAAGTCTTTCAAACGGACCAAGCAAACACATAAGACGTTAGATTGTCCTGGATCATCATGACTTTGACGAACAGCTTCATGAGCGCCATCCTGACGTAAACCGGCAGGACGCAGCAAGCGTGGTTGACGTGGCTTCTGGCGAAAGTCATACCTAGCACGAAAGGCACCCCGTGGTTTGGATGTAGTTGCCAAGCGGCGAAGCTGGATCGGCCTGAATCGCCTGGTACAGGGCTCACAGAAAGTCTTGTACAGTTCTTGACGAAACAATGCCAGGGCCCGGGCAAGCGTTTCCTTGCAGAACCCGCAGACGAGGAAAGACCGAAGCAAGGCAGAGTCCTGCACCTTGACCATGTCTCAAAATCATCGCTACGCAACCCAACCCTGTGACGTCAGAGGTCAGGCCTTCCCGGAAGCACGCTTCTTGAAAGCTTTCAGGGCTGGTATCAGGGACCCCTGTCACAAAGCTCCATGTGCTCTGTGTTACCGGAAAACATAGCACGAACGAGGTTCCTCCTGCTCCTCATCCTCTTCCTCCTCTTCGAGGAGTGGTTGGAGCACACCCTGGCACAATTCTGGTTCAATCCAGCTGTGATTCAAGGGAATGTACGGACAATGAAAATGTGATAAGGTGGGTCTGAAGACTTGATTTGAGGTTTGGCTCGACTGTCCTCGAATCTGCTGTTGCTGCAGGTACTCCAGCGGCAGCTTAGGTTGACATAACCATCCCAAAAACTCGTGCGGTTTCAAGCGCCAACGCATCATGGGCGGGCTAGATGGTTCGCCTGTCTTTGCAGGGGTACCGTGTGAAAACTTGGGCGGAGACATTAACATGGACCTCGAAAAGTGCACATGGACAACTGAAGGCCTGAACATTCTTATCGATGAAGGAGTCATGGTTGTCTGGCTCTAGCGTGAAGGCCATCACGCCTCATGAGGTTGCACACCGTCAGGAGAATTCATGGCATGACTAGGGCAAATCAGAAACTTGGTAGCACACGATTGCCACGCCGCTGCAGCCCTTTCAGCAAAGCGACGTGGACTTTGTAAGATAAGCACCTACATGTGGGCAAAAGCAAATGAATTCTTGCAATAATGAAAGAAGCTGCTTCAAAGTCATCAAACGTCTTGTTCTGCGCCAGGCGCCTAAGCATCAAAGCCTGGAAGGAGCCTCTAAGCCTTGCATTCTGCTCGGCATCCTCCTCATCTTCCTGAGAATACGGGACTCTTGCGTAGCCTGTCCCCCAAGACAAATCTGAGCCTCATCCTCTTCCTCAACTGCGAGGCCGTCATCCGCTAACAGAAAAAAGGATGGCCTTTGTCATACTTCTCTTTCTGCCACAGCAAAAAGTCTGTGAAGCTCGGCAGCACACCTCCATAATGAAACATGCTCTTTCCATTCTGGCGAGTACCTCACACAATTTGCAGATCTGAATGCGTTTGCAACGCTAAGCGACCAAGAAGACACACAGAAGAACAGCGCAACTTGGTTTGCCGAGTTGCCAGTGGGGAAAGACTTCATGGTCAATGCCATTGTTTCTGCAATGGTTCAAGAAAGCCTGACCGTTCGACACCCGAGCAAAACGTTCCACACCAGCAAAACATGATGGCATGCTGCTCAATCAGTGCGTGCAAAAAGGTTGCTGAAAAAATGAAAGGACCACCGGAATACTCACCACGCGCCTCCCTAAATGCCCACAGCGAGTCTTCGAACTGCAGGCTGAAGACATGCTTGAAAGCGTCAAAGAAGATGATCCTGAGGGGCGAGACACACGAGCACAAAGGCATGGTGGCACCTGTACGTTTCCTCACTGCAAGAAGGCCTGTACACACCACCGCAGGACTTGATACTGGCCAGCAGCTGCTCGACCATGAAAGTCATTCGGAGGAATTGGCCATCCTCATTGACCTTATCACGAACGCTTGAAGCCGCAGTGGAGGTGATACCTAGATCCAATTTGCAAGTCCGTACAAGGCATCATTGAACTAGATTATGAAACTTTAGCTTGGCCTTGAGCCTGCATCTGCCCAAATGACTTTCTAAGCAGGATGTTTACCTTTCGTCTTAGCATAGAATCGTCTGGCAAACTCAATGCCAGTCGAAGCCTCTGCGGAGAGGCGCAAGTCGCAGATGATGGACTCTGCATTGATGAAAAAGATGTTCGAGGCCTGGGAGTGCGATGGCGTGTTGAACACAGCGAACCTTGCTGATGAAATACCTTTCATTTGAAAGGGCGCTCGAACGAACAATTGCATGTTTAGGCAGACAGCAGGCAAACGCATAAACTCTTACCAACACTGCCTGCGGCACAAATACCTTTACCGACGTCTGACAGCAAATTTGGCAAGCAGCGAATGGGCGTGACAATGCCTTAAAGACCTATGGAGCAAATTAGCTGGACGTTCATAGCTGCTGCTGCTAGTAGCTGTCACAACCATAGCCTTGCTTCCTTCATCTTTGCTCTTCCATCTTGCTTGTGATTAACTGTAACGAAGATTGCCGCCTGCTTCAAAAGACACTTGCATTTACCCAACAGTGCATTGCCAAAAAAGAATGGGTGCGATATCCTCACGCGCATCGATGCTCCAACAACACGAAGAAGACCCTCTACAACGGCCGAAACTGGACCCCTCCCCTCTTGAGAAATAAGGCAAGGTCTCAGTTTGGCGACCTTTTTCGGGGGCCCAAATTGAATCCCAAAACCAGCCCCGCTTTTTGGTCTCACAAATGCGCCTATGCCTCGAAACGCACACCTTCCCACATAAGAAAAACTGAACATTCACAAGTCACCCTTTATGTCTTACAGGTTCTTCATAATCACACCGGCAAACTCTGAAGACGCACGTCCACATCCTACTACACAGTGCCAGCAGGAATTCCATTGAAGTGGTCTGCAAAAGGTGTTATTTTCAAGCGAGATATTCCAGGTAGCTCATACAGGCCTTTCCGCCGGCTTCGCTGGCTTGCGCAAATTCTAGAAACCCGTATATTCAATGCGCTCTGGATGCTAGAAGTAAACATGCTGTGGAACAGGCTGTGCTCCCTGTGAGCAAAATGCATGTTCCGCTATTATGTACTAACAGCACGCAATCCCGCTCACTCAGATTATGGTAGCTCATTTTTCACAGCTCGGCCCTCATCAGAATTGTACATCCACTGCCAATCACGTTCATTCGTTTGCATCTCGCAAAGAAGATATCCATCCAGGGTTTTGTGATGTTCTGCAAGGCTACACCGAATGTCAAGTTGTTAGCTTTCATCTTTTCCTGATCTGGTTTGTTTGGAGGTCGGGAGGTCACATATTTTCCTGATTTTCATGATGACAGCTGGCACCACCTTCCTCGTCGGCGACTCCATTGAGCTCGTAATTTTTGCCGTAAACATGAAGAAGGAAACCACAAAACCGAGCCATCTAGCTGGTCTCTTTGTCACGCCGCGCTTGCCTCTTGTGTCTTGAATGTCTGCTCTTGCGTACGATGTTGCTAGGATAGTGTGGACAAAATATTTGCAGAGGAATAATTGCTCAAAGTCTTCTCTTTGACAGTCCTTGCGCAAGACCCATCTGAAAAGCGAGATGTTGTGAAAACCATCTCAACCCTCTCCGGGCGCAGGTTACAAACTGTCAGCCCCATCCTTGGCACCACCAGTTGAAAAATTATTGCAGGCCAGGTTGCGTTGTGATTGCGCTCCCACAATCTGCTGGCAGTTTTGGTAAGCGGCCACTGTGGATAAGTTGGATCAAAGCCAGGTTAAAAGGGCATTATGCCCAAGCAATGTTCAACTTGCTCGATATTCAGGCTCTACATGCTTCAAAGGCAACCTGTCTTATCGACGATGTTCATGACTTTCCGTGAGTAACGACAGCTACTTCAAATCGACATTTGTGATTCCACTCTAGCACAAGAAGAAAACGAGTGTCACTGAGATTGACTGAGAACATCCAATACATATATATATATGCATAAGGAGTGAACTGCATAAGTATGAGAGTCGGGAGAATGGCAATGCACATCACACAGCAAGACCCCTTTTGCAAAAGCCTCAATACAAATATACAAATCCGATAGCGCTGATAGCGTACTGAGTGCTATGACGAAGGTCAGATACAAGGACTGCCGGCTTCAGCAGTAATGACAAGCGCACAGAACCCAAGAAGCAGCAAGCTAGCAGCTAGAAGCAGAGAGCAAAATCAGAAAGCAAGTAGCAGGAAGCTACAAACTGAAAGCGGGCAGGAAGAAACGACACGAAAAAAAAAAGAAAAAAAAAAAAAAAAAAAAAAAAAAAAAAAAAAAAAAAAAA